GGTACAATCTATACTTCTACTCCATACTATTATAATAAAGCGTAAACACACACTTCTTTGTTGCCTAAGATGCCAGCAACTACAGCATATTTTTGAATATTTCTTTTTTTAATAAAAAGCCCTACACTTACGTCACGCTTTAGTCTATATATTTCACGCCATCAAACTCAGGGGGTAAATATTTTGGATAAAAAGCCTAATGTAGGAAAGAGACCGTAAGTTGCTGCCAACATCAAGGAAGAAGGTTGCCTTGGTTTGTCATAATGTTATGTCATTTTGACATTTGCAATTGATCATTTGACACATGTAAAGAATAAAATATTTTTTTATAATTTTATGCGAATGAAGTAGCACGGGAACAGCTATTTATTAATATTTGTAGGGGAAGCGAGACTCGGCATTATTTAGTACTTTATGTTTCTGTTTTTTCAGTTGGCATATTTCCACGTGATGTTACTAAATACGGTAGTTATAAAATAAAACAACTAGTGTCAGTCATCATCATTTAATGAATCATTTATTTACAAAAGTCTCGGTGGACATAACAATCAGCTGTGGAGCGACTTGCGCGGTACACACTGTTTGCAAACGGTTCAAACATAATGCAATAAAAAAAAATATTTTCAATCATCGTAATTGTACATGTTGCATGTAAAAACTACACAGAAAAAAAATACATCAAGATTATTTTAAAATATTAAGCATGCAAAAATTATTTTCAGGAATCGTGAATTTGTGTTTACAAATAATGTTCGTAAGATACGGGATACGACATTATATTTGTAAAAACCCCGGCAATTTAAAGTTATTTTGTCTATAAATTTACTAGTCGATTTGATGACACAGATTACTCCATTGTATTACAGCGTAGCTGAGAGGAGACTTCATCTCCTATAATTTTTTCTCCTGAAAATTCATTTATAATTAAGCGCTTAAATAAATTCAATTATAAATAAAATATGATTTTATCAAACTTTTCCGTAATTCAAGATGACTTCATAGAACTTAAACATTAAAATATTATTTTGAATAATTAATCAAGCAAAAGTACCATAATTTATATTTGATAGCATAACAATGTACGTAATTCCGCTTAAAAATATATATAAACAAAACTTCACAATATAACGCAAACATACAAAATCATCATAATTGTTTCTAACAATTTTTTTTTTAAAAAGCAAATAATTCACTCTAAAAAACAATTTACACTAAAAAAAATTACAAATGATTTATAACATTTAATTTGAACCTTTTGCAAAATACATAATAAAATTGCTTTCAGCCAATACTGCGTATAAAATAATTAAAAAAAAAAAATCCTGCAAATTGATTCAAGCACCAAGCGAGCGGTGATTACAATTCATTACTAAATGGCTCATTTGAAAAATTGTAATTAAATAACACGATTTCCTTTAGAATAGGATTTATCAGATTTCTAAATCACAAATACTTATCTTATCTGGAAAATTATAAAATTAATATATAAATTAAAATAATTCAATTGTTAATTGCAATTAAATTTTGCCAAACACTGCTTTTTAATACGTTATGTTTACAAACAATTTATTATTTGTTTATTATAATAGATTTATTTATGATAAGGCGTTACATTTCTTGTGAAAAAAAAAAATATTTTACATTGAATAGGTAGTTTTATGATTCAAATTATTGTTTGTTTAAAATCTCATTTGAAATTGAAGTGTTTGTAAAAAGATATTTTTGACATGGGCGAAGATTTTCGGTACTATTTTTTTATTATTTTTTAATTTAAATGTATATGGACTGCATAAGGTATACAATTTATTATACTTAGTCCTTGCTCGCTTAACTGACTTAACTTAGTGACAATTTATATCCCCATTCTTAACAACATAACACTTTTGGTTTTACATAAAGCTATAACAACATTTAACATTACTCAATAAATTTTGTTATCCATACATTTTTTTACATAAAATTACAATACACGAAATAACTTATAAACGAAAATTGTAACATTTACCATTATAAATTCATGTAATATGGATTGCTTCATAAAAGAAAACATTTTTACATATAGCATCTTTATCACATAATACTTTCGTCTGTCTAGACCTTTTTTTTATCTATCTAATCACGCTTAAAGTTAAATTATGCAAATTCCAACATATATATGTATGACAAAAATATATTATCTCCAAGATATATTGATAAAACTGGCAAGTACCCTACAGCATGAGTTTTTATTATATTTGGTATTAGATAATGCACAAGGAATTGACTTAGTGTTGCCTTTTGCATCTATCAGTACTATTTACATTGTAGTTGTTCATAAAATGGCACACTTTGGATTATACTTTAAAAAAGTCAATGGCTAAATAGTTTTATAATAAAAGTATACAGATATATTGAGTACCTTCTTCTGTTGAGAAGTTGGTCAAAAATTTAAAGTAAAGGTCATCGCGCAGTTATCTACTTTTTGCCTACCCTTGCACCATGCTTTCAAATCTGCGGTAACCTTTAATAGTGTACATAAAATCATGGTGGACACCAAATTGAAATATTGAAGAGAATTTTTTTATAGCAACACAAAAGAAAGATTTTAGTGAAATAAATCAATAAAATTGGAAATAGTTCATCATTATCAATAAAATATGGATTTTATTTGTGCAGGTTACCATATGTAAGAATACCAAACAATCTCGTACAAATTTTGTCGATGTCAGTAATACGTTCTCGCAATGTCACGCAAATATTCGTGATAGACCCTCAATATTAGGCCTCTTGCAAACTATATGCTATTCAGACACTACGTCAATATTACCATCCTGGTAGTTTATCAGTCTAATTGAAGTTTTTCAGTTCATAGACTTCAGAATAAAACATACGAATACTAAAAAGTTACAAATCATATTGAATTGAGTCTATGTCGCTGTTCGTTTTCGAACATTGTCAATTTAAAATCGGACTAGGTTTACTTTTACTTTTGATTTTTATCAAATTGTTTACGAAATCATTGCTGTTTTTTTTTAATGTTAATAGAAGAAATATGGAAACTTATAATTATTATTTTTTTATATTTTAAACGACATTAAGTACTAAAATTCTACTGTTTGCACAAATACTTGTCAATACCTTATTTTCTTTTAATACTTGCCAATAATTTTAATAATTAATGGACTCCATTAATTTTTTTTATGATTTTTCATACAATTTGAGTATTTTATTGCAACACTATACCGGTTAGAAATGGTAACAGTTAAAATGTACATATTTACAAAAGTTTTAGTGAAACAAGCTCTATGGAGGGATTTACTTAATAGGGTACAAAATTAGCAACTTATTAACTTAGCCAGTTATGACGTCAATTTTGTATTAGCCAATGATGTTTTAACACTTAAATAACTTCGCTATTTTGGCGAATTCCGGTAGTTTACTCATTATTTAATAGTGCATGCATTATTCTATAAAAAATATTAAGTAAGCAATCTTTTAGCTTCAATGTAAACATCAAGTTATTAATATTTTGTACATTTTCAATATAAAAAAGGGGAGTTTTGCCTTTTTTGTGCTGGTTAAATTAAAAAATAGCAGAAATTGTTTTTTTTAATATGGTCATAAAATCAAAATTGACGTAACTAGTTAAAACATCACATGCCAATAAAAAAAACCGTTTTTCTTATGAAATATTTTTGTACTTATCAACCCGTCGGTCTAGAATTTACGAAGCTTTTATTATACACAGACAAATTGAGCATTTTCTTATGAGTAAATTTCTTTTAATCGTAACTTCTAGAACAAAGGGTTTGAAGGCTGCTTCTAGCAATAAATAAAATGCCCAGTTAATGGTGTGACCATAAAATAAAAACATTTAGTAGATTTTTTCTACAAATCTGTTTACATATTTACAGTTTAGATTTTTTTTACGTTTTGTTCATTTTTAAAATAAACCACTAAATTAACAAACTGATAGTTATTTGTCAAAATACCTGAAAGAATAAATTTGCTCTTTATAACAATGCCATGAAGCTATTTGGATACTTTTTTTTCGCATAGCACTCTTAAATAATAATTCAAGATTATATTTTACTTGGACAAAATCTTTAGAGCAATTTTAAATTCATATACAAAGTTTTTTTTACATCCTCTTTGGGAGTTATTTTTTAATCAAAGTAAATAAAAGATTATCTACTTTCTTGCACTCTTATTACCTTTAATGTTTCCAAACAATAATCTAAGGATATTTTTAATTCAAAGGGTTCAGGGGTTTTATAATACACAGGACGGTATTTTATTCTTTATGTCATAGTGTTAAAGTACACATTTGTTTGACCGTTATCACGGATTTCTAAAGCACAATATCTTAATTCTTAGATTACTCAATGAGAAGCACTTTGGTCCTAAAGCATTGGTATTAAAGCATATTTTCGCATTGAGTCTTCTAAAATTTTTTTAGTTGAAGCCCATAGTGTTCCTTATTCATTGGTATTAGAGCACAATTTACCGTGACTTGTGATCTTTGACATTTTAGTGGTTCTTAAGTCTTGAGTCATTGCATGGTATTTTAAACTTTACGCTGTGGTATTAGAGCACACTTTTACTTTCGTGTCCTAGTTATAGTCATCGCATTTTTTGGTGTTAAACTACACTTTGACTTGATGTTTTGAGTCACTTCACGGTAATTTGGATTTTATGTGGAAGAGTTAGAGCACATTTCACGTTACATGTAGTAAATCAGTGCACGGTATTTTGAACTTTATCGCATGGTCTTAGAGTACACTTCACGTTGCACGTTCTAGAAATAGTCACCACACGGCATATTATTACACTTTCTCTTGATATTAGTTGTCACTGCACGGTATTATGAACTTTATACGGAGTTAAAGCACAATTCACGCTGCGTAATCTAGTAAGTCAGTGCACGGTATATTGAACTTTATCGTATGGTGTTAGAGCACATTTCACGCTTCGTGTTCTAGTAAGTCTCTGCACGGTATTTTGAACTTTATCGTATGGTCTTAGAGTACACTTTCGCGCTGCGTGCGCTCCGCGGGGCTGTGTGCGCTGTCGGGGCT